AATTTGAAAAATACTCGTTTTCTTAAATACATTTTTTCGAAGGAACGATATTACTTTGGCTGGCACGAAATTTTCTCTACAGTAAAGAGGATTTCTTTCCCTCAAAGAAGCGGTTTTCTGGATGATGGGCCGGCGTCCGGGCGTCAACCCTAAATTAAGCGAGCTACGAGGGATAAATTAAGAGAGCTACAGTACAGTGGAGCTCAACTTACCGTTGAGGACGTGCAGCAGGACGCTGGCCGAGTCCAGGTTGCTGGGCGAGCACGTGTAGTTGCCCGAGTCCTCCCGCGTGGCGCCGTACAGCACGAGCGTGCCCACCGTCGTGTCGGCGCCCGACCGCTCCACTCGGATGTCCTTGGTGCCCTGCTTGTAGTTGAGCACCCGCACGCCGTCGTGGTACCAGAAGATGTAGGCCGGCTCCTCCAGCGACTGCGTGATGACGCATTTGAGGTTCACCGTGGAGCCCGTCTTCACGTAGATGTCGGACGCGCCCATGATCTCGATCTTCGGCACTGCAAAACACAAAGACGAGTCGGAATTAGGCACAGGCGGTTTCAGACCTTCCCCTCACCACTCGGACTGAGTCCAGTGTGCAAATTGCGAGATTAAATTTGAGATTATCGCGCAGAAGGGTCAACCCAATGTCGCTGCGCGCGCTCGATACCCCGACCGCCCTCGGCCGCGCATCGAGGTTTGTGTAACTTGGCACTCGTGATCGTGTTTTCATCCTCCCCGACGATTCAATTACACATCTCAGATTTCGCGCCCCGTCCGACAGGCTAGGCCGGCCAGTTCCCTCCTCTGCCGCGCATAATCAAACGACCTTGAGATTTTCTTTCAAGGACTTCGCAATTGGCCTCCAAAGCCTCCCCCCCAGCAGCGGCGCCCGACCCCGCCGCCGCCATGCACTCGAAGGCAGAGGCATAATGCTGAAAAACAAAACCCGCTCGGCCCGGCCGGGTGGCGCCAGATTAGAACGGGCGGCCTCTTTCTGCCCGCTTGTCATAGAACACACCCCCGCCGTGCCGACCGGCTGGCGACCAGCCCCACGCCCGCACCCCGCCCGCGCGCCTCTATCCCAATCCTTTCCACAACTCAATTTCCGATGAATGAGGCCGCACGACATCAAAGACACCCAATTCACGGTTTTCGTCTTCTTGCGGTGATTCCAATCTCGCTCTCCCACTACCGCCCGCCGCCCGCCCGTCTCTCTCTCTTTCCAAAGTTTTGCGGCCTCGCACGCGCGCGTCTGTTCGCAACGATAGCAGATTGCAGCGCCGCCGCGACGCGTTTCTTAGTTAGGGAGATGGCCGATAGGGCGCGCGCCAAACTTCTAAAGAGGGGGGGGGGCAGGGCTAGAGTAGTTTAGTTTAGACCTCTTCGCGGGGCGTGCGTACTGCGAGAACGGGCCAAGTATAAAGAGTCTAGTCATAGTGAGGAGTCGGGTCGCCGCGAGACGCCCGCCAGCCGCCGGGTAGGCAACCACTCGACATCGAGGTCTAGCGGGTCTGCCTACCCCCACGGGGGCTCAGCACCGCGTGGGGCCGCCTGGGCACATGCGAGAGCGGGCGCGTTGCAGCGGAAAAACCCCTCCTCAACCCGGGGAGAGTTAGCGAGGAAGAGGGATGAAAGAGCGCGAGTGAGAGAGGGAGAGAGAGAGAGAGGGAGAGAGAGAGAGAG